GGAGAGCGTTTCCCTTTGTCTGTAAACTTCTGCTGCTGCCATCTAGTGGCTGAAAGGGGGTATCACACCCTTGACATTTGTATGGTTTCGCTTCGAGCTTCGAGTTTAATCTGTAAACTTCTGCTGCTGCCATCTAGTGGCTGAAAGGGGGTATCACACCCTTGACATTTTTCATTACATTGCTGGCCGGTATTGAAGACGGGAAGCACGTTAATAGTAACAACGACAATAGCCCAGTATATTAATTAGAACTGATTTTGGAAAACTGGTACAAAACAATAAGGAATTGAACATTTTTTACAACGACAGCACCAGGAGATGAGTAAACTCAAGAATCTGTAGAGTGTAAATACATTGTGAAAAACACATTTTACACTTGAACTGTTTGCACATCATAGACAAGGAATTTAGACAATATAAATAAATGTTCAGAAAGTAGACATAGGCCTACACTTGATTCAAATTTCATTACTGTGATCCGATTGGTGTGCTCTGCAGGTTTACTATTGTTCGAAGTAACAGTGGGATTTAAAATGAGAGAAAATATGGGGATGTTTTTTTTTTTCCGTAGTGTGTGGAATATGTGATGCTGGAAACATGTAGGTATTTCAGAGTTGTGTTGGGTAAATATGTAACAATGGATGAAACAATTTTTGGAGTGAGTTTTTGTAATATCATTAGTAGACATTAATTATGTTGTTTAGATGGCATTTAACAACTAAGACAGATAGTATGATTAGAAAGAGACAGAGTGGAAAGGGTTGGATTTATTTAACATCAGTGTGCTAGACTTCTTATAGGTAAGGTGTCCCGAGACCTGGACTCCCCCTCTGAGTTAGAAAGGCTTCGATGCCGACCCTCCAAGCAGACAAAAGACCTAACCCAACAGGAGACTCCTCCTTCTCCATCGTACAGACAGAGAACCAGAGCTGAACCAACAACAAGACTACTTCAAGACTGCAGCCAGAACTATCTCCACCTGTGGCATCCAGAACCAAACAGCATGCTGACATACAGAGAGATACTCTCATCAGCCCCTCAGACAGGACATGAGAGCAGAATCCGCCCTCCATAAAAACAGCAGAGAGACTGTAAAGGAGGAGTGCAACAACAGTGGCATGATGGGGCTGCAGATGTAACTGGGCCAATGGCTGCCTAAAAAAGTTACAGCGGATGGATTCAACAGCTGATGGACTGAAGAGAAGACAGAATCAGAGGAGTTGGCATGGTCGATTAGAAGTGAGGAGGCCGGGGTCACGGCTTGAGAAAACCAGGGGAGGAGAAAAGGAGAACGGGAATGAGTGAGTTTACACATAAACACACTTATTCACAAAACGCACATTTAAATAACTTGAATTAACTTCATAAATACGTAAAGACAGAAAGATTTATTAATCAATTGGTAAATTAAAAATAGCAGTAAAGAGGAAACTATTAAAGTAAAATGATAATCATCCTAAAACACACTGACAGAGTAGAACCATATTCTTCAATATTTTCATCATGTTAACAAATCATTCTTTAAGAGATTTTTATTCACGTGTGAATAAAGTAGTGATCTCATTTGTTACGATATTGATCACCATTAAAAGGATAGTTTTAGGAACCACTCTATAGGACAAATCTTTATTTGTGAGAGCTGGTGCCAAGCCACATATAAAATTCCAATCTAAAGTGTTGATTTCACCATTGTGGCATAGTTATTACCATAGGAGGGCTTTAAGATGGAAATATAAAACGACTTCGGTTTTAAATCCTTGATAAAGGAGGGAGTAATTGTTGCATGTTCGGACACCCAAGGTTCCACACACTGCTAAAGAGTTTAACATTGTTTTTTAAGTAGACCAGAATTAAAGATAAATGAGTATAATGAGCTATGAAATGCAGAGCGACACAGATCCTAATAATGTTTTGACTCAAGATAATAGTTATGTACACAAGTTTCTGAAATAGATCATTAGACATTTTAATACTAATTAGGTGTAAATGGATTGCAGTAGTAGTAGTACTCGAAGGAAGTGAGTTTTGTACCAAGTTTCAGGAAAAGTGGGAGGCAGAAGTCCCAATGACAAGTGAGAATCATCTTGAAAATCATAGTTGAAATCGTGACATATTTTTGTAGACAAAGGATACTGGCCTATGCTGAAATGTCAAAGTCTCTGCAGAGCACGACACATGGCCAAAAAAGACGGAGACCAACTGACCTTTGACCCTGACCGACAGTGTAACTTGACAAGGCACTGTGGATGACTGACTCTGGGGTGAAGCTGACCAAACTTGACATGACAACCAGACAGTGTGAGTGTGAATGTATGCCGGCATGTGATCAGTGTAACTGCATGATTCTAAAACAATAACCAACCAAGCATGTTTTTGGACTAACATATTATTTTGGTGCTCCAAGGGAAACGAGAGGTTTCCTAAAAATTCCACAAAAAGGGGAAACCGCACATGTGACCCGGTTACTCTCACATGAGTTGGCGGTTTGCAAATGTAAAACTAAAATCTGAAGATTCTGTTTCTTTTAGGCCTGAAGGATGGAGAGGGACACTTCTTTTCACTGAAGTGTTTACTGTGGAAATAATGTTCGTTATGTCCCTAACCAATTACCTGACAGTTTTTGTTCCCCTCCCATTATAGGGTTTTGTTACACATGATTTCATGTGTAAAAGGGGGGAGTGTGTATAATGTATAAATGTCAACATGGCTGTAAAATTCACAATTTGAATTTTTCTTTTAAGGATTGACAGAAACCTTCCGCCCCAACCCAGATGTTCAAACTGAGCATTGAATGTAATTAACCTGCTCCATATCTGGGGATAAGATACTGTTTGATGAATGTTGAGATGTTTCTAAATATTGATTTGAGTTATAACAGGTAACAAAGAAGCAGTGGCCAAGGGGCTACTGTGAAACCGAAGAAGTTGACCTGTGATAATGAAACAATTTTGTAATAGTTTAACAGACATTAGAGTAACTGAGGTTTGAAATGTAGAAAGAACATATTACAGTTAAAGCTAAAACATAGTAGTGTATTGAGACAGAATTTAATTTAGACAACATCATGTAACTAGCCTGGTAAAGGAGTAAAAGCCATAGACTTTATTGTTTAGGTCATTATGGGGATATACATTTCATCTAAATTTATAATAGAAAGACATTTGATGACAGTTTGTTGGAATTCTGTATTCATTTTTTCAGCGTGATAATATCTAAGCACTGACAGGTAGAAGCAGTATCACCAGGAAATCATTCACTTTGTTAGTATCATGATTTTGGTTGTTTTTGAATCCATAACATTAGTGGGTTTCTTTACCAGAAACATTAGCAGTTCATATTATATTTGGATTTTAAATAGGATTTCATTTAAAAATAAACACGGATGCTTGTCAGAAATTCAGAGCTATTGAAATATGTTATTTAGTTTACCTAAAGATGTTGGGGTTCTTATTTAGTTGGCACAATCCAAGTATTAAGATTCTGAAGCTGCACTGGCAGATAGGAGGTCTACAATTAATTTAGAAAACCAGTTCACAGACGGCTGTTGTTTCAAGACACCCCACCAACAGGCTCCAAGTGGGTCAAAACAGCTGAGCGTAGGCTTGAGGGAGTTGTATCAGATTTCTCCACACAGGTTGCTGGCGCCAAAAGGGGGACCCGAGAAGCACGAGGCCGACACAGCAGAGTTCGTCTGGCTGAAGGTCATCAGGACAAAGTGGCTCAACCCCAGGCTCTCCGGCCCCGACCGAGTGACCCAGCGGACCTCTTATGCCGTCTGCCTGGGAGAAAAGGGGGACAGCTCGTACCACGGGAGCCAGTGTGCGGCGGGGAAACCACCTGCTAGGACCAGGGGACGACATCAGGACGGACGTGGCCCGGGCAGACGTGGACTACTCGGAAGCAGCGGACTGGAGGAGCAGGACCCTGGAGACATCCTTACAGCAGACGACCCGGGAGGCATCATCAGCGGGCCGGAGAAGGAGGATCGGGAAGACATCTCTACAGCATCGACCCGGAAGCCGCCATCAGCGGGCCGGAGGACGAGGAGGAGGAAGACATCTCTCTAGCAGGCAGCCCAGAAGCTGCTGTCAGCGGATCGGGGGGACAAAGACACGGCAAGCCAGGACGGCACAGGGGACTTGTCGAGGCAGCAGAGGAGTCTACTTCTCTCTGATCAGTTCCACCCGTGAAGGGAAAGCCGCATCTCCCCCTCCCTATTAGCTGTCCTTGTGGGCTATTCCTCCGAGGGGGGGGGGGGCTGATGATTCTAGCACTCAGCTGCCCCCTCATGGTTCCTTCACTGCCATGGAAAGTGGTGTTCTGTCTCCATGAAGTTTTCAAGTACTCTAAATACCAGCTTCGGATGGATTTATACAATGTTTGGGGGACGGACACAGTAGAAAAGAATGACAGTGGGTATATTTCAAAATGCCTTGTCTAAGTTTATCTCTGGAGAAGGAGATAAAAAGGGGGATTTGTAGTGAAATATTTGTATTTATTCATGTTAGCAAACTATGGATAAGCTTAAAATGGGAATAATTTGGGTAAAACTGTGAGCTGGATTTGGGGCCTGTTGACATGTGTTTTTGAGGACAAAGGAAGATGGGGGAAGGGGAGAGCATGTCTTGATTTGCATTCACCTTAGATCTTGCTACAGTGATTGGGGAACCTAAGATTTGAGGTGTTAGTGATATTTGGGGCTGCCAATCAAGGAGGTCCAAATGGGAGGATCTGATAACTCCTCCCATTGTCAAAGAGTATAAACACAGTCACACACGCGGTGTTCAGCCTCTTTCCTCTGGCTGGCACACGTGCAGGTAAATTCGGGATCCCAAGGGTAATTTGTATTAAATTTGTACTGTATTGATTGTATTGCATTGTCATATTATCATTAAAGTAGATTATTGTTTAACGGTTATTTGGTAGCTCTGGATTCCTTCCTGTATTAACCAGCTTGATAGGGACGCGCGGAGATTTGAAAAGCGGACCAGATATCCCTTTAAATCTCTAACAGCATGCTGAGCAACACCACCGCTATCGCAGAGGCCTGGGCTCGCCTGGACCACAAGTTCGACCTGATGTACGCCAAGAGGGCCTTCGTCCACTGGTACGTTGGAGAGGGGATGGAGGAGGGAGAGTTCTCTGAGGCCAGAGAGGATATGGCTGCCCTGGAGAAGGATTATGAGGAGGTGGGCACCGACAGCGTGGGGGACGAAGGAGAAGAAGGGGAGGAGTACTAAGTCACTGAAACATCTGTGGTGAAGACTCTGACCCCTCCATTGTCTAACTTCAGCTCCTTTCTAAACAACACACACACACACACACACACACACACACACACACACACACACACACACACACACACACACACACACACACACACACACACACACACATTGATGGCAGGAGACAGTTATGTTTTGGCCAGGTTAAAAAAAATCTCCCCAGGGATCAGCTGTTGCATCTCGGGACTTTAAAAAAAAAAAAGTTCATTTTTACTATTTTATTTTGAGTCATTCCAAATGTTACGGCTTTGTAAACAATCCCAATAAAGTTCACTTGGGTTCCGACATGACCTCTGACTCTGTCTTCAATGAATGACTTTACATGAAGGTGAATGTAAATTCCAACTCTTATTGAAAAGGTAAAAGTACATTTAAAAAATATATAGACACTTAAAAGAAAATGCATCAGTATTGCGTGTGTATTAGTGCCGCAGTTAAAGGTCGAGTAGCTTTAGAGGATTTAAACTTGTTAAACACAAAATCTTTAAAATAAAGTAAAGGCGTCAACATTACATTAAAAAAAAAACCTCAAGTTATTAGTAAAAGTAAATATTTACATCAAAATCTACTGCAAGTACCAAAGGAAAGGTACTCATTAAGCACAAGAGCCCCGTTCAGAAACCTATATATTAAATTACTGGATTATGATTCACTGATTTGTCTTTCACTGCTAGCGAGGTGGAAATAATTGTAATTACTCTATATACTTCTGCTTTATTGAAACCAATACATGTCGGTTTATTTGATTTATACTTTGTTAACAAATCTAAATCTGAAAAGTAACCTTTAATATAGCGTTAAATTGAAATACTATAGTAAAATACTGGTGTGGGCACGAGATAAGTTTGTGCACAGATGGAAGGCTGACAGGCAGGTAGGCCCATATATATATATATATATATATATATATATATATATATCAAGTGTGTTGTGAGTTGTGTGTTGGGGAAATGTATTCCATCGCACCTCAGACTGTGATTCTGCTGAGACTGCTTCCCTCTGATAGTCTTTTATTGCCACGCCAGCAAAACACTCACTGGCAGGGAAGCTTGGCCTGTGTGTGTGTGTGTTGCATCACTGTATGATCACTGACATGTGCAAACAGTTTTGTGTGTGTGTGTGTAGAGCAGCCATAGTTCATTTCCCCTGTGCTTGTGGAGGTTGTTTTGTGCAGGTGTGTGAGCTCTGCAGGTGTGTGTGAGGCGTTACAGAGGGGGGGGCATTTGTTCTGAAAGGTAGGCCTCCTGTGTTCCTGCGTTTACAGCTTTTTCTTTATTCACATGTACATAACAAGATCTATCACAAGTTTAGGGCTTTTTATGTAGATCATATATTTTGTCTTGTACTGAATCACATCTGTTCCTTTGTTTCTTGTCTTAATATTTATACTTGTACAAATGGAGCAGAGGCCTGTACTACGAAGCTGGTTCAACCTAACCTGGATATGTTTGAGTTAGCCGGTTGGCCTAATCCAAAACATACGTGCTCTCGCTAAACTGTAGGCTACTACGACGTGGGTTATCAAGTGGATCGCTCAAGCCAGCCGTGTCCTATGTAGTTAGGTGCGCGTTCACATGAAAGGGGTGGTGTTTGGAGCATTCGACCAATCACAAACATGGAGAAGCGTACTGACAGTGCAGCGCGTCATACTTCCTGAATGAAAAGTGAACTTTAAAGGGGACATATCATGCTATATTTGAACAATATATTGTAGGGCCATACCTATATAAATATAGTTGTTTTTTTTAAATACCAGTCAGATCCTGCATTTTAGCCATGCCTCATTTCGCTCTATTTGCTCTTTCCAGCGCTGTTTTTGCAGGGGGCTGATTCTGTGAGATGCAGCTGACCACGCCCCCCTGCAGGAGGGGGGAGCGTGCTCTGAGATCAGCTGCTGGGCTGTCAGAAGAGGGGGAGAAAAAGAGATCTCCATCCTCCGTGTTTTATTCTTATAGAAGTAAGAAGAGAAGTAATGGGGCAGAAACCCTCCTTTTTACGCAGCGGTCCAGACATAGACATCAAACGGCCAGTAGCGTGGCGTGGGAAAACAATTAGGGGAAGCCAATAATACGTTCTTTCTTTTGGGTCGGGGGGGTGTGGTGGTCAATATAATAACTAGGGCCGGGACTCGATTAAAAAAATTAATCTAATTAATTAGAGGCTTTGTAATTAATTAATCGAAATTAATCGCATTTTTAATCACATATAAATATTTGACCTAAGAACAGTGAGAAGCAATTTTTTTCACATGGATTTTAGTATACCATTAGGCGCATTCACACCGCAGTACTTTTCCCACAAAGGTTCATGAGAACTTAGTTCATGAGAACTCTTTGAACCTGGGGGTGGATTAGGCAAATGAAGCTGCTGACGTCACTTCTTCTTCTTCTGCTTTGGGTTTACTGGCAGGCCGCAAACCACTTCACGGCGTATACTGCCGCCCAAAGTCCCCGGCCGGAAGTCCCCGGAGTTGGGGACTGGCTTCAGTAGAAGCTGCTGGGAGTCCCAGCAGCCTCTACTGAAGCCTTCCGAGTAAATCGCCAGAACGCCGACACCTCCTCATCTCCACCGCTCCCATGTTTTATTTTGTGTTGCCATAAGTTAGTCTCTCTGCGTTTCTGCGCTGGGCTAATGCTAATAATGCTAATGCGAGGATAATAAAATGGCGGCTTCACAACACTTTTTGGGAGTTTTACGGGGCGTGGTTTGCAATCCGCCCAGCCAATCAGAAATATAGCTATTTTCTCACAAGAGAGCCGTACGAAAGTCCCTGCTCTCTAGCAGCTCTCTAGCAGGGACTTTCGTGGGGGTAAAAAGGTTCACATGAACTAATTTTAGTACCGGCTCTTTTTGGTGTGAACGCGATAAAAGAGTTCACATGAACTAAGTTCACATGAACCTTTGTGGGAAAAGTACCGCAGTGTGAATGCGCCTAAGAATGTCTGTACAAAGTGTTATGCAAATTAGATCACCAAATATAAAAAACATGCCACAGGAGAAAAATCAAATAACAACAGCAAACAAACATGTCTCCAACTGAACAATTCTTACAAACTAATCTTATCTTACTTCTAGCTTTCTCTTTTGAAAAAGTCCTGTATTGTAAACAATATATTTAGCTGTGTAAAATGTGTTTTACTTTATATGCAATCTCTGTGTTTTCACTCATGCTAAACCATTTCCTGAGCTGTTGTTCACTATGTCAAATGTTTTTGTTTTCATGCAGGACAGTACCGTCTATAATATAGTTCCACAAACATTCCTCTGCTGAAGTTTTGAAAATGAGATTTGATTGCTTGTTGTTTATAACGCGGGCATGGAGTTGCTCCCTCTCCATCTGAACACGACACTGACTGAATGAATGAATAAATAAAGCGAGCAGCCTTCATTTGCTCCCATATTGGTGTCAGAGACCTTGTTTACTTCAATCAGGATGATTGGCAACTCGCAAGGGTCTGACACTTCAGATACTCACAGCTCTGCAGCTTCCTCTACTTATATTATAACTCAGGAAAGAAGAGAAGTGGCTGTGGTTCAGCTTTCCCACATTAGCCCCTAAGGTGAACTGAAAAGAAGTTTACTGACGGGACAGAGGTGTTACTGTCAGGGAGCCATCAGACACGTCACCAAACTTTTATATCCTTTCCTGCGACAGTGCAACTTTTCTGGCACTTGAAATGTGTGTCTGCAACATTTGGCTGATGAAAATTAATGCAATGACACAAGTTGTAGGTTTATTCAAATCTTTTCACATCTGTCACCTAGACATACCTCTACATTTCTGTAATGGCAGATGTTTCCAGATACCTTCAAAGAGAGAAAAGCTAAATGTTACCCTTTTTAGAGACTTGATGAGAACGTAAGCCAAGCATCTCCTGGCTTCATATTTGTTTTTCATATATAATAGTGGTAACGATCTACTTATTTCACTCGAAGAAAAGCACATTTCCCCAGATATTAAACTATTCCTTTGTACCACAGACTGTGTTTTGCCTTTCTGAAATCCAATCGATATCATTGATAGGTTTCACAGTACAAACAAGAGTCAATACAATTAACAGAAGTTGTGTTTTGAGGCATGATTTTGTAAAAGATGTTCAAGGAGAAAAGGGGCCAAATAATCTTTGAAACTTCCTTCAAACTTTTGGGAAATGATATGTACAAACACACACTCTCCATCTTCAAATATCAGTGTAAATAGGGGAAAAGCCTATGGTGAAATGTTCCCACCATATGGACGTAGGCTTTAAGAAGGCTCATCTGAAATCCTCTGTGTGCATGTGGAGTTCGATCTGAATACCAACTGCTCTTAGTGCGTTTTTACTACCTCTTCCTCTTCAGAGTGGGGGGGGGGGGGGGGGGGGGGGTCAGATGCACCTCACAATCCTATAAATAAACATCAGTAAATTAGCTTTTAGTTTATAGCTGGTGGCGCTTCGTTTATGATTGCACTCTTTTGAGATGTGTATATTTCTTTATTTTACGTTACTCAACTTCAAATGTATACCGAGCATCTAAGGTAAGAAAACATTTGGGATGAATATAGTTAGCAAGGAAAACAAAATACTCAATAAAAGAAAAATGTTTATTCCTGTCAATGGTTTGTACAATACTTGCAAAACTTCTTCCTAAAGGTCCCATGTCATGGCCATTTCTACTGATCATATTTCCATTGTTGAGGTCTACTAGAATACATTTCAATTGTGCAATTTTCCAAAATCACATTGGTTTCTCATACAGCATCTCTGTATATGTGTATTCACCGGTATTCACTGTCTGTCCTAAACGGCTTGTTGGAGCTCCTGCCCCCCCTCCTTGTGAGCCCAGTGTGCTCTGATTGGTTGGGACGTTGCAAGGCTCGTTGCGAGGCTCGTTGCTGCGAGGAGCGGACAGGTTTCCGGGTCTGCGATACAGCGAGAACAAGCGAAACTCATCCTGAGCACACACAAACACTCACAGCCGAAGTAAAAACAATAAGTGTGGCTTGATATTGAGAAAGAAAAAGGTTTATAACGCTGTGAGAATGGGTCTGCAGAGAGCATTTCTCCGCCATCCCAACTCGTCTATTACCAGTGTTCAGGGAGCTCTATGCAAGTCAATGGGGACTCCCTGTTAGTTAGCCAAGGGATCCTGGTGTGTGAGGTTCTCCGCGGATTGGTCCATTTGGGCCAATCCGGTCATTTGTTGTTGATTTGGGTGTTCACACGTCACAGAACCCAGGAAGAAAACAATGGAAAATGAGAAATCTCCAACGAGATGTTCTGGGGCAGCATAGACAGGTATTTTCTGTGTTAGAGCTTTACTCGCTACAGGGTGTACTTTAAGGGTTTGTGACTCTGCAGACCGTTTACATGCAGGAAAACCTTCATAACACACAAGGGGACGGGTAATAACCAGAAAAGCATGACATGGGCCCTTTAACAAGTACATTAGTTATTTACAAGACCAAATGTTACATGTATGGAGAGACTCATTCAAAGAAAAAGGTCTTCACATTAAATTAGATAACAGCTCTCGTCTCTGTCTGCTGTTTTTGTATGGACACTTAATCACCAAATCAATATTTCTTTGTTGGTGTAACTTCTTTTTTTTTTTAAATATGTGGAAAATGATCAAGCCTCGGGTAATAAAAAAAAAAAAACGCTTGTAATGGTCGTAGTTTATTTTCTTTGCATCGACTTGTTCCAGTCCTCCGAGAAAGACGAGCACATGCAAGCAAATAACAAGATGCCTTTTGTTAAGATTACAAGAAAACACAGTGAAAGTCTGAAACAAATCAAGTATTGGAACGTCAGTCACGTCTCGGAGTCTTTGAGGCTGTGGGGGGATCAGTCCTCAGACTCTTCACATATTCAGACAATGTGTATTTCTACTTTTCCATAAATATCCCACGCTGTGTGTTCAGCTGTCTCTCACCTGACAGACACTCTCTTTTTATGAGCATGCTCTGCCGGTTTTTATTCCCCCCGTGCCATGTTTCTGTCCTTTTTCAGTCTTCTCTTACACATGTCTCGTCTGACTATCATTTCCCAGGAAGCTTGCTCATCAGTCGTCCAAATCATTGTGTCTCCCCCGCCCCTCCATGTGTATCAACACCGAGGACTCCTTCTTTCTGTCTCCTCGTCTTTCTCACCTCTGATCTCAAACCAAAGTCAGGCGTTTATGTTTTTTTTATCTTGACAGTTGGCTCTCCGCATCTCTCCAGCTCTCAGCAGTGCAGGATCTTGATGAAGGCTTTGCGAAACTCGATGTTGAAGGTGGTGTAGATGACGGGGTTGACGGCGCTGTTGAGGTATCCCAGCCAGGTGACGGCGCTGTACAGCGAGGGCGAGATACAGCAGCTCCTGCAGTGCGCCTTCAGCACGTGGGTCAGGAAGAACGGCAGCCAGCAGATGATGAACACGCCTGGGAAACCGAGACAGGAAGTGGAGTAAAGGAGGAACACATTTTACGGCGAAATATTGAATGAAAAATCCTGCTAACTACTGGATTTTCATTTCACAGAAAACCATGAAACAATTCATAAATACCTGTCTACCAAGTGCATGTTTGTGAGTATATATATTGCATGTATACGTTTTATGAAGACTAATGTACATAATAATGGTCTTATTGCACACACACACACACACACACACACACACACACACACACACACACACACACACACACACACACACACACACACACACACACACACACACACACACACACACACACACACACACACACACAACGAGTGTACTGAGTGTGTGTACAGCAGGGGTGAACCGTCAGAGAATACCCTGGAACACTCAGATAAAACAAACAAAAAATTGAATTGAATTATATAAATACAATTTAAATTAATAAATGAGAATCGTATCTGTGTTGTTGATTTGTAATATTACAGTGTTACGTTGATTTGTTTGTCTTTCTCGGTCCATGCACTACGCATTTCAGTGGTTTTGTTTTAGAACAAGAATGCTCACCTAGCACGATAGCGAGCATCTGCGTGGCCTTCCGCTCCTTCTGCTGGGACAGCCTCCCCCTCACCCTCTCCTTGGTGATCCCCCATTTATCTCTGCCTCTGCTGCGCTCCCTCCACCCCTCACGGCCCCTCATGCCGTCCTCCAGGGTGGGGGGTCGAGGCATGAGGGCCGATCGGGTCACGGTGGAGGGAAGGACCGGGGCGGGTCCGACTGAGATGGCCAGGGAGATCCTGGCCCGGCCCGAGTGGGAGGAGGTTTGGGGAGCGGGTGGAGGAGCCAGGCTCTGCTCTGTCTGAGGGAGGAACCGACCCGGCTCCACCTCCAGGGGGTGGACCATCGCCTCCTTCACCAGGGTCTGACACACAGAGAGGGAGGAGGGAGGGTGGTGAGGGAGGTAAGCATCGGGGGACGATAGAAGGTGTGGATGCTTGATAAAGATGGAACAAAGGAGATTGAATGGGACATTAGTCGATGTTAAAGGTCCCTATGATACTGTTTTTCATCAATATATGATAGGTCTCAGATATATACAAAATATGTCTCTGAAGTGTTTGGCTCCAAATACCAAACAGATCATTGCAGCATCCCAGAATCCCCTCTGTTTCAGCCCTGTTCCAAAAGTGCTGATTCTCTGTCTGTGACTTTAGATGAAAATAAGGGGCCACTCCCCTCTGAGAGATAATGGGTTAAAAATAATAATACATTTAATTTCAAAGTGCTTTTCCAGGTGCTCAAAGACGCTTTACAGTGGTTTGATAAAACATGATAAAATAGAATTTTAAAAAAAAGAAAATAAATAAATATTAAAACAGCAACACAACATAATTCACAAATTAAAAGCCAGTCTGAAGAGGTGTGTTTTGGTCAGTGTTTTGAAAGTGGGGGGGTCGGTGCAGTCTCTGATGTGTTGCGGAAGGGAGTTCCAGAAGGTGGGGGCAGCGATGGAGAAGGCTCTGTCCCCCCATGTTCGGAGCTTGGTTCGTGTGGGGATAGAGAGGAGGTTCGCTTCTGATGAACGAAGGCTGCGGGAAGGGGTGTGGTGGTGGATCAGGTCAAAAAAGAACACAATGGTGCTCTAGGAGGAGATTCAGGTGGGGGGGGTTACCTTGGTTGGTGATTGGCTAATGGTTACACAAGCCAAAAAATCTTTATGACATCATAAAGTGGCCAAAATCTGATCAGCTCATTTTCAGACAGGTTTATATAGAAATGGATCAGGACAAAAAGAGAGAATCTTTTTTCCTGAAACTTTCAGAATCTCTTTCCACAGAGGGGACACGTGTTGATGTAGAAGAGACATGAAAAAGTGGATTTTGCATAATAGGTGACCTTTAAAGGGAGAAGCAGGGATCAAGCAGAGCATCGCCAGAGTATGAAAACATCTGAAAAGCTGAGACTCACCACTTTCTTGCGCTGGGGGCCTGCGGTGTCCGACCTCAGGATCAGAGTGCACAACTTCACATCCTCTGGCTGAGTGCACTTGTTCTGAAAGAGAAGGAGGCAGAATATAAAATATATTCCTCAGAAAAGCCAAAATGTATGGTAGTGATACATGAACAAACCTTTATGATAAGAGTAGCTCAATTTAGTTTCAGCCTTCTAGTAAATTTAAGCAAAAGCATAAATGTTCGCATCTGTAATAAGCTTGAATCAGTGAATATAGTATAATATAAGATGCCGATATATTGATCATCTTCAAGTAGAATGTATGAAGCACATTCGTTGTTAAATGTTTGATTTTGTCCTTTTGTTTCTACTACTCAAATGATTGTGTTGGTTACTGACATTTAATATCTTTCACTGTGGAAATAACTCATATTTTAGTTTGATATTGGAGAAGACGCCCAAACAAAAACAAAAAACATAACATTTCAAACTGGATTTAAGAACTGCGTACAAAATAACACCGCAGACATCACGAAATCTGAATGGTGTTGAGAATTGAGTTGAAACATTTCCCTGTGTGTAAACATCATACATCTTCAACAAAGGGCTGAAAGAAGCTCATACAGAATATCTGATGGAGAGCGACAGAGGTTTTAAAATATGGATGACGGAAAAGCAAACAATTGATTCAAAGCAGGTTTGGAAACTTTTGAGTTGATATTTCTGCACCGGAGAGTTATGGACTTGTTTTGGTGGTACAATCGATGTTGGTGCAGACCGGTGGGTCAACTATCGATACCAATATTGGCTGGAAGAACACAACAAGTCTGTAAAATCTCATCATCCAAACTTTTTTTCCAGTGTACGTGCAGACTTGTGTCTCTACCTTCCTGTGCCGCTGACTGTCTCCGGCCTCAGCCCCCCCCCCCTGTGTGAGCAGGCCGTGTCTGCGCCGGGGTGCGGTGCGTCTGCCTCGTTTGCGCAGCACCACGCAGATCTGCACATACACCAGCAGCGTCACGATGAAGGGGACGTAGAAGGAGGCCACGGAGGAGTACACCACGAAGGCCGGGTCGGCAAAGCTGCACGAGGTGCCTTCTCTGCTGGCTAATGGAGGGAGGACAAAAGAGTGACATTTTTACGAAAACATATCATTATTTCACTTTTTTTTGTATGTATTGCCAAACTGAAGTTCTTTTATTGTTTCAATTCGGAATATGATAAAGTCATAGTTGAGTAATGAGAAACACACTTATTCCCTTTTTGCCCATCTCATGACATGACAATGGTTAACATACGAAAAGCTAATCAACATTAAATGACATTACATTGATGTGAACTACAGAAAAACACAACCCAAAAGCTGAGGTAATAGCAGTGGACAAAAAAGCTCTATTTAGAAACTTATTTGAGCTGTAAAACATATCAAACTTTATTCATATGCAGATGGAGTTGTCATGACATTCTGGATTTGCTAAGTTTTTGTTCACTGAAAGTAAGAGATCTTTGGGCAACATTTCCCTCCTGCTGTTTCTGATTCCAAAAGCAAACTGAGCCGCATACTTTACACCAGCATGGACGAGCAGTCCTTAAAACGCTAACAAAATATGGAAATGTAAACATCTGTAATTCCATTAAAAATAGTTATACTGCTAGAATCCGGACCGTGCGGTGGATTGTTTTCTCCACAACTGAAATTCTGTTTATTAGAGTGCATTTGCCATGTCATTAATTTAATACAAACATTATCAACACAATAAGTAACAATCAAACAGTAATCTATAGGCGACCTGTTACCGAGTTATATGTTTTAATAATACAGAATCTTGCTGTGTCTTCTTGACCCAGAACTGATAAAAGTGATTCTGTGAACCCTCACAAATGTTCAGCTTGTTCTCAAGTGAACTTCTTTCAGTGCGAGCACATTCAGAGTCTCTCCTCGCAGCTCAGGAAGATTACCTTCACTCTTGATCCTTTTGTGAACAACAAATGAATCGAGGATTGTGTATGCTACCGACGTCGCCTGTCATTCCCTCGATGAGAACAACACAGGGGGAAATCATTGAATGCTCTGTTTGTCTGTTCTTTTAGAAACTGTGGATATAAATCTGCTGACTCAGTGATGGTAGACTGTTGACTGAGCAGACGCATGGGATCATTTTTAACCATATCATCAAAGACTGCTCATCAAACTCAAGGACAGATGGATCGGGATAATGTAGGGTCTATTTGTGCATAAGGAAGTGTGTATGCTGCTCTTCTGAAAGTGAGTTAAATAACACCTCAGAGGACCATGAAGAAAACTGCAAAGTTAGGTAAACATCCTGTAAACAACAGCTGTTGACTAAACCATGAAAGACCACATCTCCAAAATTAAGATCAGCATATTTCCTTTTTGGGATTGTTGAATTGAAGGGACCTTTAAAGGGCCTGGCGGGGTGAAACTATCTAGTTTTACATAAGTGAAAATAAGGACATTTCCGCTATGCCACTCCGGGTTTCACCAAGCACTGAAGCTGGGGTCTAATAGAGCAGGTAGTATCCAAGTGCTTTGATAAAAGCTAGTCAACAACTGCTAATGAAAGGTGCTTCAGTGCTTCCTTTCATATCTTCTTTTTCGAGTATAGAGAGCATAGAGTACATCGGAGCATCCCAATGCCATCCCACAACTCCATGAGGTAGCAACATTTAAGAGAAGCACATCACTCACTATTCCCCCGCAGCTTTAGCCTGTGCCGTGGGGGCGGAGCTATCAACATCTAACTAAGTGGCTTGTCGCTGCAACCTTTATGTCTGTGCTAGATCATGGTGGTGTTGTTTATATGAATGCATCTTCTAAATGCCACCGGATACTGTCTACCACGGGGCACTGAGATCTATTACAAACCTTAAGCACCATTGTTTCTGGTATGCTCGACTAAACTATTGGCAAATCCTTATTTATTAGGCTATTCTTGGTCTTCTTTCACCTTATGTATGGATTTAAAACCTTCAGAAAAGTATGGGAACTTATTGGCTTTCCTCCGAGGACTTGTTTTTTACTAACTGTCCCAAAAGTCCACACTGGGCTGGGGAAAAGGGCGTTTAGTTACGCTGCTCCATTTGCTTGAAACCAGCTTCAATATGAGCTGAAACTCAGGGGGCTGGTCTCTCTTAACAGATTATAAGTGCTTCTTAATGACCGAGAAGCAGGCCGTTGTCTCGATGCACGAATATGACATCTCTGATTGTGACTATAAAATGTTCTGTTTTAGTTTTTAATTTGTTAGGGTTAGTAATTTGTTGTCTGTAACTGTGCTGCTGCCTATCTTGGCCTATCTCTTGTATAATCGTTCTTTTAATCTCAATGAGACTTCTCCTGGTTGAATAAATACATGGGTGTCGAGTTGAGGGCAGGCATCAGATGAAGCTGTTACCTGTGTTGTTTAGTCCAAACAGCAAGGGGCAGGAGATTGCAAAAGAGAGGAACCAAACCACACCAATCATCACCGCCACCCTCCTCCTGGAGCTGTATCTGGTGTTGTAGAGCATCGGCATGGCCACTGCTGTGTATCTGCAATCACACACAGATTGGAAAAGCAGACATATTAGCATGCCTCCCTCTCACTCAGTCACGGTGCCTGCATTTGAACTCCTTTTTCCATGGAGTGAACACACATCGATGCTTCTTTAGACTTTATTATCCCGTCGTCATGTTCACACATATTTTAAAGTAAACTCGAGCAGTTGAGAGAGAACGCAGACTAACCACTTTTCCCCTCAGATGCAAACTGTCATGGCCTGTTTCACTGCCACAAGTACACACACCTGCACTGTAAACAATTACCAGCATTTCACAACATTTAACAGTATTATTTTACAGTGACATATTGTAATCAAGGCCCCCTGTAATATCCCAACAAATACATGTAAAAAGGACTGTATCCTTGTGATTTCACAGCATTTAACTATTATTTCACAATAAAATACTGCAATCAAAATCCTCTGTAATATCACATCAAATGTTGTAATATCACAACAACATTGTAAAAATTGCAAGAATTTCACAGCATTTAAGAGTATCATATTACAGAGAAATATTGTAATCAAAAGCCCCTGTAATATCACAACAAAATATCTATAAAACAGTAGAATTGGATTTCACATTATTTAACTATTATTTCACAGTAAAGCACTGTACTCAAAATCATCTTAGCACAACCATGATAGACTGTATATAAAGAGCACAACTCATTACTGTAAAATTTGAATTGTGCACTATTGCACATGTGCAGAATAGACTATTCTAATCGGCGTGTGTCCTGGCAACCCTGTCTCCTAAAAATTACGTTCCCACAGAACTAAACTGCATTCTCAATTACGTTTAGCTAGAAATGTATTTTTACAACGATTCCAGGGATGCCTGACTTGAGTTTCTAGCACCAGGGAAAGTGGAAAAAGTGCCCCAAATCAGCGTCTTAATTTACCCAGGGCCTAGTGCTTGGCTTTCGGCATGAAAATTCAGGAAACTCCCCTGAGTATTTTATTACATATCTCAACTTTGGAGAGGAGTTGGGGGACAAACGACACATCAAATCACATCTCCACATCAAACCAAAGCTAACTAGAATACTCTTGTCTGCCTAGCATGCGGGAAAATTGGCGTGCTCTGTCACCACAAGAGCGAGAGTGAAAGCGGCATAATGGAAGGCTTTGTCCCGTTTTAAGCCGTAACGTTTGACATTCGGAGCAGCAGAGGGATGAATCTGCATGTACTCTTCGAGGCGATTCCAACGACACCAAGCTCAAAGCTGTCGGACCTTCCTTTGTGCCGTCTAGAGTACTGAGAGCCATGAAAACATGACCTTTAACCTTAGTTTGAGACTTGGTTGAAGGTCACCGCGGCCCCAAATTTTGCAAGCGGGTTCCACACAAGTGAAGCAACACACTCTCAAAGTCTCGAAGCGCCAAGCACCTTTTTTCAATTTTTTTCAATTTTCTCTCCCTCCCTCACCAAAGGGTGTCCAATCTTTAGCTCTAGACGGGATTTTGTGAGAGTTTGACATTAGATTGAAAAAAAAATGTCTGGGTGAGTTACGGTTCCCATATTTCATATTTCTTATCTGGGCCCTATTTAGAGGCCCCTGGTGAAAAAAGTATCTTTCCAGCCCTTTCCAAAGTCAGGTTATTAAAGATGAAAGATTATTCAACAAAACATTTCAATAACGTGCTTTAACCACTAGGTGTCCCTATCTACCAATTGGATCAAATATATAAGTCAGCCGAATTAGTGTTGATACTGAAAGGAGACGTATTGTGTGAAAAGAAATGGAATATGTTGTTTAATTGCTGATATATTTATATTTATTTTATTCTGCTGAGAAAGTTGAAGATCACGTGACATACACGCCAGAAAAAACGTCATTTCTGGATATTTGTCCACTGGTTTGCCTGTTAATCGTAGGTGTCACGTTTGAAGGGACGAAACGGAACGTCATCGCTCGAACGGCCAATCATATCGCGCATTGAGGAACCCAAAGCCTCCTAACAGAGATGCCTCGATCCTTTCGAAAATTCGCACGGAGGCAACAGTCAAGGTGAACATCTGTGAGTTTCTCCAAAGCGGTTACCATCGGTAAACAGCAAGTAAGTACTGCCCATAATGTGGATTAGTGGTGGATATTATGTGCTTTCGATTGTGAACGCCAGTGGAGTAGTGTCGTGTTGGTTTGTACATGGTAGCGAATAGATAGCTAGCGTTAGCTAGTAACATTAGCTTGATAGCAGCCATGTCCACCTTCAAGCAGGTGGCCTTAACGTTAGCCTAGCTAGTGCTAGCCAGCGCCGTATATGGCTATGGTAGATGGCTCTGGTGCTAGCCAGCCAACTGTTGCTGACTGTTCCATTTGTTGGCAGAAGGCTTATGCTGTATTCGAATGAAAGAGCGAACAATGAATACTTTAACCGGTAAGACTGGTATAATTGCCATTGGTATAAGCTAGTTAGCTTAGCATTGCTGCTAAGTTTGAATTCTGACGCCATGGTCTAACTAACTTACTAGTAGGTTAGCTGATGTTAGCTAGCTAATGAATGTTTCTTGTGCTTGGTGGTTTCATGACATTGTCTAATCAAATTAGACCTAATCTAAATCGGTGTCAAAGTTGGTAACGTTAGTTGCTCTTACAATGTTCTTAATGTATTCGTCACAGACCCTATTGCACATTGGTGTCACCACGTGTCATCACTAGGGCTGCAACACACGACTAATTTGATAATCGTTATTCGGATCGTTAAGGTTTTAACTGTACTACTCAGGGTTCGTACGGGTGCTTGAAATCCTTGAAAATGCTTGACATTTGACGTGGTGTTTTCAAGGTTAGGAAAGTGCTTGAATTTTGGAAATAGTGCTTGAAATTGAGATAAAGTGCTTGAAAATGTAAATGCTTTACTTTTACAATAAATTGCTGTCTGACTGAATAGTTCGCTTTTTAGATTAAAAGAAAAGAATTGCTTCGCTTCTACATAAAACTGCTCCGCTGCGGACTTCCCGCGCTATGCGCGCGACCTGCAAGTGTTTGTGTTACGTGTGACCTGGGCATTCTGATGAGAGTGATAGATGACAGTGTGCCAGGAGGTTGCAGTTTCAACGAGCGTTGGCTAGCAGAAGACAAATACAAGCCATGGCTAAGACGAGGGTCAAGCCCACGAGTAGCCTCCTACAAAGTATGCAAAAATAACGATGCGAGAGTCTGCGCTGACGAGCCACATGAAAGGTACGCCTTAGTAGAGCATTTTAGATTAGGCTAGCGTTGCATGTTACGTTTGTTTAAGCTAACGTTAGCAAGCTGAATAGCGATCTCGATTGAGGGATAATAATAATTGCAGGGGACAATCATTTCAGAGGAGCGTATCTATGTTAATATGTGCGTTACAGACGCCACCCTGTGGCGAGCAAAGTTTCAATCACTCAATACTTTCATCAACACTACTCTGGATGATAAAGGATTACCAAACTCTCTTGCCTCTTCACAATGTTTACAGATTCGCAATGTTTATAGGTTTGAAATGTTTATAGGTTATTGCAATGCGTAATGTTATTTCTCTGAAAACACAATTTTTTAAATCTTATTTTACTTCTATACTATTCTAGCCTAAATTAACTTCTACTTGTACCTGCATTTTGTACACTGTCCTGTTTTGCACTTGTCCTGTCTTGTCCCTGCACCCTGTCCAATGTTGTCTTTATGTCAGTACCTACCAGCAACACATTTCTAGTATGTTGTAAAACTACATGGCGAATAAACAGATCTTGTATCTTGCTCTAGGCCTACTGATTGCCTGCCTGGTGTTGACCGACGCGACGAGGTGTATTGCCTAAATCCAATCCACGGATTGCTTCCTAGTTGGAGGTAGGCCTAGTATGCAACACAGACCGTAGTTTATAGACTGTGCATAACTGCAGTCCCCAGCTCCAGTGCTTCCCTCCATGAAGTACTGAAGCTCAGACATTTGTTACCTGTGCAGCACACCTGAGATTAATCACTTCATCCAATACTGTTTGACAGTACATTTATGTGAGTTTACCTCTCTTGCTTCCCTGTGGTGGTTTTTTACTGCCTCTATTCCAGATTTGACATCCTCGTGATCCTGGTGTGCGTGCGCCATCCTCGAGGAAATTGCTAGTGACTGTTCGAGTGTTGTTGCAGCTAAGGTAGTTAACATTTCGATATGATTGTGACTGCTGTCTCGTCTAAATGGGATGCTCGACTACCTGACCTTGAACACCTTTACAACATGCTCATGTTCATAATCTGCATGCAAACTGAAAAATTTCTTTTGTTGGTTGCCTTTGTAATTTCTCCTTTCTCTGGTCTCCTTTTTTCTAGGTCATCAGAGAGGACAGACCATCCTGCATTTCTGTCAGAAACTGGACAACCCGAAGATCAGGGAATTTCTGGCCAGCTATGATCCAGAGGGTTCGGAGAAGGCTGCCTGCATCCTCCAGCTCCTTATGGTCTACTTTAAGGAGCCTACGGAGAAACTGATGCTCGAAGTTGATGTAAGTTTTTTAAAATTTATTTAAATATTTAAAATGCTAAACGAGTGATTACATTAGGGGCAACTGAAGCTCAGTTGGTAGAGCTGGTCGTTCATCGACCGTAGGGTTGGTGGTTCGAATCCTGGCTCTGACTGTCCGCATGTCGGAAGTGTCCTTGAGCAAGACACTTAACCCCCAAGTTGCTCCAAATGGGCCGAGCTGATCTGTGTTGAGCTGTAGTGCGCGGATTAGCTGTTGCCTTAGCATCACCCAGGCGGGGGCTACACATTGGTTTGCGGACGTCCATTTGTAAGCGCTTTGGGTGTCTTGAAAAACGCTATATAAATGCAAGTAATTATTATTATTAGACCATTTATTATGTTCTGATTTACCTCTGACCAATGAACGATCTTCATCCTTGCATAATGTTAAATCTATGCTATTGTGTGTTACTTTGTTACAGACCTGTGCCACTGCTGCTGATGTAGTGAATACTGCAGCACTCCCAAGCACCCCCTGCTTGATCATTCAAGGTAATGTAATGTTCAGGGTTGGGATTTTTCCTGTTTATACTGGATTTCCTGCTTTTCTGACCTGAATGGCTAGACTTCACTGCTGCTTTTATTCTAGTTATATAATTTCTCTTAGGACATCCCTGTTCTGCTCCACCATCGATGAGGTATAGGATACTGAATAGTTACTCTAAAGAGCTTAAGTGTTCCTTTGCATCAAGGGGAGAATCTGACTGAAGGCCTTCCATCTCTCCTGCACTCCATTCAAGTCTGTGAAACGACACTTACGATACTCTGACGCCATATGTTTCAGCGATTCGCGTTAGTTAAAATCTATAGCCTGTTTCAATGATTCAGGGGTCTGACGAGTTGACATGTTCTCGTTCTAGCTGGGCTCGTAACCATCTACCCATAGAGGAATGAGGTTAAACCGTCTATCCATAAAGGCAGAGGGAGGAGGGCTAGGGAGTTGCTTTGTCGTTCAGCCAGATTCTCCTATCTGCACAAACACCTTTGATGCTTTTACAGTGACTGTTAAGTAGCCTACCTCACTGATGGTGGAGTAGAAAAGTGCTGTCCACCTGGAGGGTTCTGTGTCATGTCCTTGCATGCTCTGCACTGTATATTTTCCTGCTTTTTGGTCCTTGGCCAATCATGAATGTTACTCGGATCTGGTATTGACATCTCCAGCTCAAGTATTATTTTTGATTGATTCTAGGAATGTACCTATCCACAATAACGCATGACGGGGTATCTGTTCATTTCAGGTGACACAATGAAGCCTTCTGGGTGGATGCTATCCATCGAGGGACAAGTGGTAATGGGCCCACACCCATTTTTTTTGCATGGGCTAGCTGCTTTATTCAGCAGCTACTATGTCTTCAACCTCAAATATCCCGTTGGATCATGCACACTGGAGTTCATCCAAAGGTATTGTAACACTCAAACACATGATCAATGTCATCAGTAAGACTTGTCATGCAAATTTGTGTTTCACTATCTTGCTATTAAGTCCATGCCTTTCTACAGAGGCTATAAAGTAGATTAAATGCTTTGAGTATGAAGCCTGGAACCAAATATGCGAATTGGGACCACACCATCACTTGATGTTGCTGGGCTAGCTTGTTAAAAAATTGACATCATGGTTTAATTCACAATATAGTATGGCTTCAAAATTCAGATAAGTAAGTAAACCTTATGTTAGAGGTACCTGAGGCACTCTGCTAGGCTACAAATAATGTTATTGTGAGAGGATGATCCAACAGGTTTGTACTAGTAACAGTCGGTGTGGGAAAAGACACAGGTGAACACCTTGATAAATGCTGCCTGCAATACATGAGTGTATTTAAAACTGAAACTTATCTTTGCTTATTAACAGATGCTTCTTGGGCATCAACCCGGAGAAAGGCTCCAAGGCAAAGAAGCGAAGCTCCATTAACCCTCACGTGAGCACCCTTCACCGGAAGCTGATAGACTTGGAATGGTCTGCATAGACTGCATGGTGTGCGGGGACAAGTTTAGTGGGAAGCATTACGGTCAGTTCACCTGCGAGGGATTATTTGTTTAAAGGATCCGTTAAGGGTTCATCTGTTTTTTATGGATAGTTGAGGTGAACTAGTTCATGTTCCTGTTTGTTTACTCTGTTGTTTATTTTGTCAATAAATATGCCAGTGGGCTTCCATTGATTTTACCTCATTTGTGCGTTTGGTGTGTTTTTAATTGTACAATAACATTACGTGCATTTTTATAGTGCAGCTCCAGTACTTCCAGGAGGAAGCTCACACTTTGGTTTCCTGTTAAACTTGGACAGGAAACCATTGTATGAGCTTCCTCCAGGAAGTACTGGAGCTGGGAATTACAGTTATGCACGTGTATCATTGTAAATTACTGGCTACTCCTGCAGTACTTTCACAGTACACATTGTAAATTCACAGTAAATTACTGGCTACTCCTGCAGTACTTTCACAATAGAAATGTAAAAGTACAGGCCCTTGTTGTAATTAATGTACAACAAAATGATGTAATTCCCCAGTAACATACTGTAATATCACAGTAATTGAAGCTGTGAAGTTACAGTATACAGTTGTACCTTTACAACAATGCATTGTAATATCATGGATGTGAAATTACAATACATTGCTGTGAAGACATTCACAGTAAATTGCTGTGAACCTTACTGTGAAAGTCATGCAACAAGTTGCCAGGTAATTATTGTGAATTCACGGTGGATATTTTTACAGTGTGCTAGCACGTCAAAATGAAGGAAGCGTCGTCTACTTTAAAGAGCAGGTTTGTGCAGTCTACTTAAGAGAACAGCTGTCTTTCTGAATAAGAGCAAAACACAGTTACCCAGGACTCTAAACATGAAACTAAGCTTTAAAATAGATGATTGTATCAGGAAGTCTGTAAATATGTTTTTGATGGGCCTGACGAGTTAAATCCCTTCAGCAGACTGTGTGAACTTGTTGAGATGCAAACATTTCTGGTGCAATATCAAACTGTTGCAGACTTACGTCCAAACTCAGAAGCTTCTTTTTGCAAGTTTCCAGCAGCAACGTTTTGCAGCTCGACAAAAACATGCCAGCATCTCCAAACATTTTTTTAATGACTTTTAATTTTTTAGTTGGTTTCTTCATGGTTGAATGCACTCGTTTTGGATAAAGGCGTCAGCTAAATGAAATGTCTGTATTAACCTCAGGCATCATTCTGATAGATTGGACCATTTAGAACCAGTTCTCTGCGCCCATCCCTACACACAGTCACATTCTCTTTCCCATTTCTGTCAAACCATACTGTATGAGAGCAATGAGAAATAATGACCTTATTTGGGTTTATGCTAATGACCTTCTGTCAGTCATGATTGGAGGACTCTGCATATACAAAAATCTCTTGTTCTGTTGTGGATGTAAGCACTCTCACATCAATGTTGTCAGCACTTTAACCTTGTAGTAGCTGTTTTAAATGAAATAGCTCGGGCAGGAAGCCGATACAACTTTGTAACTGCGGTGTATATTTCCCCGTTTACGGCTTTGAATAGAATCGAATCGTTTAATGTCATTATACATGTACAATGCAATTAGACGCTATCATCTGCTATTCCACCAAATGACTGGTCAATGGTCAATGTGTCATTTTGTAATTGGAGCGTCTGGTCACTTCCCATTAGGCGTACAAAGGTGAAACACCAAACCATCAAACACAGTCTCCTTGATCCACTCTAATGGCTGGACAGAGGACATAGTAAAAGACGCAGAGAAGCCTGTAGCTTCCTGCTGAAGGACAAACAGATGATGACAGGGTGTGAGGTGACTGTCCAGCTGCAGGAAAGATTTATTTCCAAAGTACTTTCTGTAGCCCAAACTGCACCTGAACTATCAAGGTTAGGGGAGAGTACACAGTTAAGAAATCACTTATTGATTCCCTGTCATCTTTGATGTTTCCGTTCTCATTCTGGATGGAATGAGAACGGCCTTTTTCTAAACAAAAAAAGAGAGATAGACGTCGAGAGTGTGGGTTTGTTAGACGTTCAATGAATAATAAAACTAATAGTAATATGAGAGTAAAGTTATTTGAAGGATCCACCTGTCGATGCTGATGGCACAGAGGTTGAGGATGCTGGCCGTGCACATCATGACGTCCAGCGTGAGCAGGATGTCGCAGTGGATGAGACTGAAGCGCCACTCTCCCACCACCTTCAACAAAACAGACATAAACTGATATAAAATACACTACTTTAACTTCAATAGTTTTCAGCCTGGATGTAATTCCTTTACTGGTTTTGCCCTTGTGGAGCACAGTTAATATTAACCAGGCTGAATCACTCACAGGTATTTCATATTTAATGATATTATTATATATTTCTTTACTTTAGGCCAGGGGTGTCAAACTCAAGGCCCGTGGGCCAAATCCGGCCCGTGACCTCATTTTATGTGGCCCACAAGAGCTTGCAAACAATATAGTACACAAAACAATTGGTGTAATTGTTGAATATTTGCTTTCAATTATTTGACTTCTGCTCTCAGACGTTATTAGTTATTACCAGAACTGATAATAATCCAATGCAGTGCCAATCATGTAATATACATTATTTAATATATATTATATAAATGTATATTTATAGTCTTAAAGTGACAACCGGCCCTTTGAGTGCAACCATAATGCTAATGTGGCCCGCGATGAAATTGAGTTTGACACCCCTGCTTTAGGCCATAATGAATTATTTATGAAGTGAGCCAATTTACCCAACACAAACTTTAAAGTTTTAATTTATCCCAACTTCACAATGGAAAGGTTATGTTTTTAGGGTTACGCTAAACTACACTGTTGCCCATAAAGATTGTATAGGAATAAAAAGAGGAATGTGTCTGTGTCTTATTCCAACTTAACGGGCAACAGGGTATATGTAGTAATTAGTATTTTGCCAATACATTTTCATTGTCTGTGAGAAATTGTCTGAAATTGTCCACCTTGCATATAAAGGCATTTTCTGTTTGTGAGAAATGTTTTTAATTCCTGTCACAGAAACAAATCATTATAATGAGGGCAGAAAGCAGCATTCTAATTGAGGGATTCAAATGTTTACAGACTGTTTATTATTAAGTTAAACTTTGTATGTGTTTGTGTAACGCCAAAATAAATGTCTGTGAGAAACTGTTTATAATTCTCTAGACCTAATTAGTCAATTAAAGTTTTATTTTTATTCTATCCTAGAGCCTAATTTAATCAGGGAATTATTCAGCAACGTTTTAATTTCACCGTTTGAGTCCTTTTTTGTTGGTGCAGTAATATCAAACATTTTCCAAAGCAATCTTCTAAAGCAGATGACTTTCTGCTCTCCTTTGTTTCGTAGGAGAGTTAACCAATTATCTCTGGGTTTTAGTCTGTTTGCCAGACGAAAAGAGAAATCTGAATACGTCCCCTCAGGCTCTGGGAAAATGTGAGTTGCACTGATGGTAGAAACTATAAAATCTGCATCAGGATCGGAGCATTGGAAGACGCAGCAGTTGAAGGCTCAGGGAAGATCGATGCTAATGATGACAGAAAGCTTTTGAAAATGTAATAGCAGAGTATAATTAAGTATATGGCAATGGGATCATATTCCACATTCATACTCCTCTTATTCCCACCTTCCCTCTTCCTGTGTGGTTTGTTACAGAGCTCTCAGTCGATTGACGGACAATTCATCTGGAACTATTTTGCTTTTTACAAGATTCTTTGTCTAATGTGATTAGAACTTAACATGTTTAGGTCATACACATTAATCACTTTCATGACATGGCCTTGTGATGGGCTTTTTCTACTATTCCCGAAGTATAGCACCTTTCAACACAAGGCAATTCAAAGTTCTTTACAACAGAAATGTCAGTCTGGATTGCAGCGGACCGGCAGGTTTCTGGTAGTTTGTTCACGATATTTGGAGCTTAATAACTGAACGCTGTCATGTTTGGATCTGACTCTGGGGACAGAAAGCAGACCCGTCCCAGAAGACCTGAGAGTTCTGGATGGTTCATAATGTAGCAGGAGATCAGAAATGTAAACTAATTGATTTTAAAGCTAAAACTAACACGTTTTGAAAGCTCTATAAGGACTCATCAATCAACTGAGAAAATAGAAAATGTATCTATAATGGACATAATTATAAATGCAGCCTTCATTCGTAACATAACCTTTGTTAAAGCTTCAATCTAAATGACGTTCCTTCAATTGTTCTCCATGTGTTGAAATCCACCCAATCCACAACATTTCTATCTACAGTTAGTTCCCACTGCCTCAAGCTGAGGGTGTATCAGAGGATCATTGATCATACAGACACACAATAAATCAATACCAGCACACAAAAGAGCGCACGCACCTCCAGGTAGACGCCCCAGGGCATGACCAGCGTGGCCAGCAGCATGTCGGACACGGCCAGCGAGACGATGAGGTAGTTGGTGGTGGTCTGCAGAGCGCGCTCCCGCGACACCGCCACGCACACCAGCACGTTCCCGAACACCACGCAGAAGATCAGGAGCACCAGCAGCACGGCGTAGAAGTTATAGGGAGGAGAGGAGGCCGACGGAGACATGGTGCAGTTAGACGACGACAGCGAGGAGGAAGTGGAGAAGGGAATGGGGGAGTATGAAGGGTCGTTGGTGATAAAGTGGGAGACATTGTGCGCAAAGGAAGAGAGAGGGAAGGAGGGAGGGGAGGTTGACTCGTTGAGGGAAGTCATGGTGTGGCTCCAGCGGACATGCTCAGGCTGAAAGATTGATGACACAAACAGAGGAGGAGAAACGTTATGACCCTTTGAGGAGCCCATCGATACAGCGCTTCACAATAGATCCAACTCAAATTGTGAATCTGACATCAAGAGAGATCTATTCAACATTTTAGTGGGGCCCCAATCACTTCAGAGAGAGAGAGAATTCCGCAGGGCACCTTACAAAGACATAAAAAATACTGCATATTGCCTATATATATATAAACAGTTTATGTTTCTGTGTCATCCCACATAGTGGCTCGTCAAAGAGGTAATGAAAGATGCACAAACATTTAGAAAAATATATGACCTTAAGGAAATCAAATGAGTGACTTTTTCTCTTCTCCCAGGCTCTCCAGGGTAAGTGGCTATTTGATATGTCTCTTGAACCGCCGATGGAAACTCCTAGACGAGAGAGTTCGGACACATAACAAGAATAAATGGGTCCCTAGAAAATAACCATCATGTACGGTGCAGTTGAGGGAAGAACAGTTTCAGACAGGCTGAGGGGAGAATGGCCGACGGAAATAATAGAGGTGGACGGGGAAAGTGGTGGTGGGGTCCGAGAGAGTGGTGAAAGATCGGGATGTTAGGAGACGGGCTGTGATGTCATCAAAGCGCCTCAATGCCCTCAGGCTACGGGAGTGACCCGACCTGACCTGATACGTTTCACACATTAAGCAGTGCGAGTGACGCTCTTTAAATCTTACAAACGCTATGGGATTGTTGTAAAAAGCTTTTACAGCTCTATACAAATGTTTCATTCACGCCGTATTAAATACATTTAAAAGCTAAAAGATCGTATTTATCATTTGAAAAGCTTTCAGTAAGTCGAAAACATGCACATATTGCCTTATTTTCAGAAATGCAGCTTGTTCTGCATGTAGACAGTACAACGACATGATGAAGACATGACTTTGGATCACAAAACATATTTTGCTCTCCCACCTGGAGCTGTTCTTTCTGTAGATACAACAAGAGCCTCTCATTAAGTGTTGCAGAATACCGCTCTGGCTGATCTCTGTGGAATTTAAAGGCACCCTGTGGTCCCAACTTGGTGTTTTCGACATTGGAGCTATAAAATATTTACACCACATAGATGGTGTTTCGTCAAAATCAAAACATATCCACAGAAAATATTAAATATTTACACAATTATTCACTGTAAAAAACACAATAGTTCTCTAGATCTCTACGTGGTCTTTTTAGCCACTTGTGCTGATGAGGTCATTTTAAGTAACTTAAATTCATTTATTTTTCTCAATAAAAACAGTTTTGAATACCGATTAAACCTCAAAGTAAAGCTTTTAAGAACAAACTAATGTTTTAAATAGGGTTTGCTATCTTGTAAACAAACAAAAGTGCATCTGAACGCATTGTTTGTGTCTCTAGATGAATAACAACAATTGTCCTAGTTGCCAGTCACAGTACTGCAACCTCCAACTCCCTGCGGCCCGGAAAATACTTCCATGATGTTTCCTTGCGAGCGGTCTTCACAGATTATAACTCATAACACGTTTCTGCCACCATGAGTTGATCACGCGTGAAACTAGGAGAAATGTAATTTGTTAGGCCCTGGAGCACTAAACAAACAGAATGGCACCCACTCTTAATAGCAATGCTCAATACCGTCACTGGGGGTCAAAAGTGTACCTTTCACCTGTGTCCTTTTATGAATCTATTCCAGTTTTCACTCATCGCTGCGGTTTTTTTCATTCATTCTTTATTCATTGACTGCTGTCTGCACACCATATTCTCCCTCTGGGTCATTAGAGACCAATCCTTTAATATACATAATAGAATCATTGGTTCAATTCAATTTGTGTTCTTTCGGGTGAGCTCAGGAAACAACAGTTCTCCTGACCAATAGAAAAGCAGAGTATTAATCCACATTTTGGAGGGACTTGGCAGCAGACATTTGGACCATCGAATATAGATTACTTTACATAAGGTGTTTGAAAACGTTTTTTTAAATATATTTTGAAACTATTTTTCTTGACCATGAAACTGTTCTATCCATAACTAACGTCAGATCCAAGGTCAGCCTCTGTTCTGCATAAAGGTCCAAACTACAGACATTTAACAGCGATGTTTGAAATGTAAAAGAACAGGAAGAGCGTGATACTCATACGAATGTTTCAAACTAAAATATAATTTTAGATCTATTCCGAAACAGATTTCTATAGAGAATTGTTTTTAATGAGAAATATGGCTCGCAGGGAACCACATTTATTCTCTCCTTTAGTTTGATCTAAAGCCAAAGAGTGAGGATGCTCTGCGAAGGAGTACAGCATCCTTCAGACAACCCGACCCTGGCTAAAATATATAGACCTATAAAAGAAAGCAGCATTTGTTGGTTTGCAATGTCGCCGCGTTTAGCTGATAAATATTGTTCACAGTAAGATAAGACACAGAAACAGCTTAGTCCAATGTGATTTATGAGATCATCTTCTGAAAAGGGTCAACTCCTGAATAAAACTCTCCATTAGTAACCAACTATTGAAGGCTCCGTGTTCCTGCAGAGGAGACATGAAGAGGATATACGAGTTCTTCCCCTCTCTTATCCCTCTATCTCGATGCTCCGACTCCAACAACCAGCATGCAAAAAGCTGAACGCAATATTTATCATTGACAAGAAGTTGTCTACTGACTTGGAGTATCTTCTCCTGAAAGAACTTATCTCTCAGTCCCAAGGCAATGAGAATATTCAGTGAGAATCTCACCCTGCCAGCACCCCGACTCACAGTGTATAGCACCTTTCCATCTCTGTCCCTGACCTGGGATCTGCGAACACATGTCCAAGATGAGCGAAGAAAAAAAAAAAAAATCAATAACCCATCCCAACTTATAGCGCTTAGACTTCTGCACATGTATTGATTTCACACAGCTGGATATTGATTTGATTCAGGGTTAAGGCTTAAACAGACATTATTATAGAGGTCAGTCCAATCGCATCAGGAGGCAGCAGCGTGTTTGACTGATGGGGGGGGGGGTGTTCATCTGAAGAACGCAATTCTGGGTCTGCTAAAGTGCCTTCAGTAAATGATGGGTTGGGTAATGCTGCTTAAAGGCTCGAATAAAAAATAAAACAACTGGAAAGCACTCAGAGTTGGAAAAGTTTGAAAGGCCTGCATCATGTATGTACAGAGCCCCTAAG